GTGTGTGTGTGTGTGTGTGTGTGTGTGTGTGTGTGTGTGTGTGTGGTGGGGGGGCACACACTGGGAGGTTTTTCGTTCTTAAAGAGACGTTTCCCCATTTTTCAACAGTCGTCTGAACAGAAAGAGGAAGAGAAGCTGTGTGTGTGTGTGTGTGTGTGTGTGTGTTGTGTATATTAACATACACGCTGATGAGTTTGTGAGGAATCAGAGAAGATGAGGATTTTAGTTTTACTGCCGGACCATGAGAAGAGGAGGATTAAAGCGGAGGTAAAGAGCTTTTCTTCTTGTTTCAGGTCACTTTGAGGGTTTCACCTCTGACCTCTGAGCTGCAGACTAAACGCACAGTGAAAGTACAGAAGTATTATCAGCAAGGTGTACTTAAAGTATCAGAAGTAAAAGTACTCAGAGAGCAGATTATTATTACCAGAAGCAGCATTTTGATGTTGTAACTCCAGCCGTCACATTAATAATATCAGATATAGATCTGATGGAGTAGAAGTAGACTTAAAGGGCCACACTGCTGCTGTTCTGATCAACATTAATATATTACAGCTTTCGTTCCTGTCTGAAGTGAAACTGAAGAAAGATAAAAGACTTCCATACTTAAGCATACTATATATTCATAATACTAAAGATATGTCTGTTTAAAATAACCATCACACATTCAACTCGGATATGAAACGTTTATAATCAGTAGAAGAACAATAAAGAATTCATGTGAAGTGAAAGTTTTCTGTGGTTTTTGTTTCAGAATTTCTTCATTAGTTTTCTATGACGGAACAATATGATCATATTTTATATTTATATATATATTACATAAACTATATTTGATGCAAATCAATAACATGTATTCTGATTCACAACTTTAATGAATCTATTCAAATACTGTCCGTGCGTGCGTGCGTGTGTGCGTGCGTCCGTGCGTGCGTGCGTGCGTGCGTGCGTGTCATCCTGCAGCCAATCACAGAGCAGGATGCTGTGACTGTTCTCAGCCTCTGATTGGTTACTTTTCTGACAGCTGCTGATGCTGTGCTCTGATTGGTCCGTTGCAGATGCCGGTGTCTGGGAACATGCTGGACGTGTACGGAGCGATGGCCACGCCCACCGTCGCCGTTAGCAACAGTTGCCCGGCCGACCTGCAGGCCATCAAGAGAGAGGTGAACGGTGAGTGAACCTTACCTCCACCTGATTGGACGGGAAGATTATCATGTCAACTGCTGATTGGCTCAGGCAACTCATATGTCAGAGCTCTGACCCTCCCCCGTGTTTCCCTTTATTTTTGTGCTGAAAATGTCTTCTTCAGTTTGATGAGTCGACATCACGACTTCCTGTGAACACACACACACACGGGTCGTATTTTCCTACATCATCAGTTCCCACTTCCTGTTCAGTCAACATTTACTAAAAAACACTTTCTGCTGTTTCAGCTGAAAAAAAGAGTTTGAAGCTGTGGACGTATTTCATTTCAATTCAGTTCACTTCATATTGATTTGTACAGCCAAATATCACAAATCAAAGATTTACCTCAAAATCGGACTCTGACTCATCAAATAACGAAAAATTCCGAAAAAAGACCGTTAACAGGAATAAAATGTATCTCAGAGGGATCAGCACAGGATCTCTGTGATCAGAATGAACATCATAATATAATTAGGGCACAGTTGATCCGTAAGATATAAATGATTCATATAACTGGATCAGTAATAGCTGCAGTAGCACTAATAATAGTAGAATAATGATGTCTACTAATTATAACAGCAGTGGATATTATAGGATAACAATGATAATTAAAGCTGCAATGGTAATGTGACTAATAATAATAATGATAGTAGCAGCAGGTGTCAGCAGGACCAGGGTCCAGATAAAACCACGATCCATGAAACCTGTGAGGAGAGAAAACACAAAGACTGAGGAAGAAGCAAAGCTAGTCATGTGTGTTAAGAGGAGATGAACTCATACAGAAGGAGAGAGAGAAGAGGAGAGAGGACCTCAGTGTATCCTAGAAGTCCTCCAGCAGTCTAGGCCTGTATCTGAATATCTAGGGGCTGGTCCAAGGCAAACTTGAGCCAGCCCTAACTATAGCCCTGAGCCAGCCCTAACTATAGCCCTGAGCCAGCCCTAACTATAAACACTAATTATAATATGATCTCTTTTCTTAGTTTTTGTTAGTACACAAGCTGCAGCATTCTGAATCAACTGGAGATATTAAAGAAACTTGTTAGAGCAGCCTGATAATAAGGAATTGCAGTAGTCTAAAAGTAACACATTTTCTTTTGTTTTGAAGTTTAGTGAGCTGGTGGGTTTCATCTGGTTTGATCAATAGATATAATTGAGTATCATCTGCATAACAATGGAAGTTTATAGGGTGTTTTCTGATAATATTGCCTAAAGGAAGCATATGTAAGGTGAATAAGATTGGTCCAAGGACAGAACCTTGTGGAACTCCATGACTAACGTTGGTGTTCATGCAGGATTCATCGTTACATTAGACATCTAAAATAATCAATATTAGTTTTAGTAAACGCTATATTAAGATTATTTTCACCTCTTTACTTTGCTGTCAGACAGCTTTTTCTGACGTTTTTACCTGTGCTGCCTTCAAAGACATCAAACAATAACTTTACCTCACAGAACACAGGAGTCGGGCGGTTAGTTAATTAGTGTTATTGTGTGACTTTGATGACTCTAACTCACCCTTTAAAACACCAAAATGTTGTAAAATGTTGTTTGTCTTTTTCTACTCAAATGAAATGTTTCTTAAATGTTTCTGTTGTCGTTGTAGAGGGGGAGACCAAAGCTCTGATTAAAGAGAGACAAAAGAAAGACAACCACAACCTCAGTGAGTACAAAGTATTAATTCACTCAGACCTGCTGTTGGTACTGAGGTCACCACAGAGTTATGAAAAGCTTCAGTCACAATAAAGACGGATTACAATACAAGACTATAGCCCTACATGAGTGTATATATTACAATGTAACGTTATCTGATACAAAGTAACGTTATTTGATACAAAGTAACGTTATTTGATACA